AGCACAAATCATATTAAACTAAATAATTTATGTACGTAATATGCAGGAAACAAAAGAACAGTAAGCTTAATGATGTCGACAATATGATCTATTAAAAATAGAAATTTAGAAAACAACCACATGTGAGCGACAGTTTTATATATATACACAACGCAAAACAATTAATATATAGGTATGAATAGAATACAAAATTTGCGGTAACAATGAGGAATTAGTAAGAGAGTAGCAGATCACCGACCTCGTTAAATGCAGTAAGGATGTTATTAACTGCGTTAACAAAAGTAGATCAATAAGAAAGGAGCATATATAAACATAAACTAAAACATATGAGATGAGAAAGATATAAAAAGGTGTTAAAGACGATGAGAAAGCATACCTAGGGTTCGATATCATGGTTGCTTGTAGTTGGGGAATCAATATTTATAAGAAGTATATGATGGAACCTATGGTTTATTACTACTTATGTTGACAAAAGGGCTTTGAATCAAAATTATAATTTCGAACACAACTCAATACGAAAGTCCATCCGATTTTAGGGACAAAATTTAATTAGTGAAAAAATTAAAAATATTATTAAATAAATACAATTAAGTATTCATTTGAGAGAGTTCCTCGAACTGCCACATAAGCTTTTGCACTTCTTAAATAATAGATAGATATCATTACAAATGAAACATTAATTTGGCGTTACAATTTATTATTTAGAACAAAATGGTAAACTTTTGAAATGATTCCATGAAAGAATAACATAGAAGCATAAATAGTTAGTACTATATTAGCACACTAAGCTATAAAACATCTGACACTGTAAAAACAGCGATAAACATTCTGAAAACTCAGTAAAAGATGAAAAACCAAAGAAGGAATTCCATAGATTACATACACATATGTTGATAACAGTATTTTTTCCATAGATTAAAAAAACAACATTATATTTGAACAATAAAATCAATTTTCAAACTATACTTTTTCGAGAAAGGAGAAGAAATAGTATATATTAGCCTTAGATAAATAAATACTACTCAGTTGATATCAACTAAAATTTTGTGATTTAAAGCCCATCATTTCGTTTCGTGTGACC